TATATATATTCGGAACAAGTTAAACGTATGTACAGTAAAGTGTTCACACTATAGAAAATATAAGCATATCGTAAACGTTATATCAGTATATTTAGAGTTCTCCTCTTCTTGTCAAAAGTCCACTTAGGACTGTTAAATTACTTTAGAATCTCAGTTGACAAGCCGAACTATTTTCTCTAATAATATTACTCTGGTGTGATTCAACTTACGATTGTGGTCTTCTTTCTTCTGAAGATCCTATGTTCTTTTTGTCAAAGTGCATTCAGGCTGATTCAATTACTTTAGAATTGCGCTTTGACGGAATAAACTTATTTTTTCATATTTCCTTTTCCACTGTTAGTTTCACTCTAATATGTATATTAAACGTTAGGCCTATGTCAGTCGTTAGGCCTATCACTTTTACGTTACTTAACTTCACACCAACTATATTCTCTTTGGTATTATCTGTCTGCTGCTTCCCGCTCATCTCACGCTATTTATATATATTCATTACATAGTCGTCTGGCCGCTTTCTATATTCTCGACACCAGTTAGTTACTAACAAAACCATCTACAATCGTCTGCTTTTAACTCTTATTACAACAAAAGTTAAAAATAATAAAATATTCACTCACAAATATAAATTAATCACTAATATTTAAACCAAACAGTCTTTTATATCATGACAATATTATTGTTTTGAACGACTTCTTACATGACACAGAAGTAAAAATTTTGAGTAAAAGTCGGTTATCATGTTTTAAGATGAACCCTGGAAAAAGCTCAAAATGAAGAAGCAAAACATTAGAATTGTTTACTTTACGTCCTGTCTTTATCCGTGTTTGGTCATTATGTGCGACCTGGGCAGGTCAGGTTAAATTCAGACCTCTTCCTCCTTTTCCTTAGATCTCTCTCTCCGTGTCGAGATTTAGGTCTTTGCGACCTAGGAAGGTCTGGTTCGTAGGGACCTCTTCCTTCTTTCCGGACTGTGTTTAATCATTCGTGAATGTTGGTGTTGATACAACATGTGGGTCGGAGTAAACCGCGCTTGCTCCGACCCCTTTCAGGGCAATGTCCATGTCTGAATTTTCTAAAACCATTTTGAGTTTCTGGTAATTTAAAAGTGGTTTCTTGGTAATTTGAAAGTCTATTGTTTATTATTTGTTCTAGGATTTTGCCTACGCAGCTTTTCCTTAGATAATTTTAGGGTTTATTTTGTTTCGAATTTCGCGCAAAATCGAGTAATGGCCTAGGGCTTTCCACGCCCCTACACTCCAGTACGAGTGTACTGAGATCACATTCAGAATAGCCTTTCATGTGTAAACCTGGCTAAGTTGTTCTTGTGTTTTGTATGAAAAGCCAAGTTCTCAGATTTTTCAGTAACTTAACTTTTAGTAGACTTATAGTTTTTGCTAAGTTCGAGATATTTCTTTACTTGGTTTCTTTTCTGAGATTTTGCTTAGCTTTAGTTTAACTTTTAGTAACTTTTGTATCTTTGTTTTATTTTTATTTTTTCATTTTAACTTTGAGTTTATTGTTATTATATAACTATGTGTTAGTTTAACTTACAGTGGGTTTGGTGTGTTATGAATTTCACGTAAAGCTAGTCGAGGACTACTGCGCTACCTGTCACTAATTTAGCAGTGATAGACAAGTGAGAAGGCAGCTAGTCAACACCAACCACCGCCAACTCTTGGGTTACTCTTTTACCAACGAATAATAGGATTGACCATCACATTATAACGCCTCCACTGATGAAAGGGAGAACATGTTCGGTGACGGGAATTCGAACCCGCGACCCGCAGATTGTGAATCGAGCACTTTAACTACCAGGCCTAACTTAGAGGAAGGACACATACTGAACTGGTGAGAGAAAGTTCATAAAGGTTTCCCTTCTCTCTCTCACCAGTGTAACACATTCAACAGAGACCAACTTGCCTCTGTTTTATTTTCTCTTGATAATCGAGTTCGTGATCCATTTGTGTTTTAATAAAAATAATTAAGGTGCGTCTTCAGTGATTTGACTCTTTCTTCCTGTTGAACTTAGAGATCCTAGAGATAAACAGGCACACGCCTAGGTGTCATTCGAACCTCCAGTTAGCGGGCCCCAAATGACTGCTCTGAGGAAATGTGAGAGCCTGAAAATACCACAAGAGTAAGAAAATAGTTTTATTTTTTCTCGTGTTTCATTCTTCTCAGTTGAATGTTTTACACGCATTGTATTTTCTGTTTGTTTTCTTTCTCTATGCTTTCGTGTTTAAAAGATTGCACTACCGTAAACAATAACGGTCCAGTGCAAACAAAGTGTATTTTTTATGGTTAATGATAATGTCCAATGCATACAAACAGTGTATTCTGTGTAGTTAACATCAACAGTCCGGTACATACAGACAGTTTATTGTTTGTAGTTAATAACAACGGGCCAGTACATACAAACAGTGTATTATGTACGGATAATAACAACAGGCCAGTACATACAGAGTATTCTGATGATAATTTCCTGACCATTAAATAACCATAAATTTAAAGTTAACGTGTGATTTTAACTGTCGTTGTTTCAACGATTATTTAAATTTAACACTTTTTCAGCTGGGCTTGAATTTGGGATCCGAGTTCAAACTAGAGCTGGTAGCCCAAGCCTTAAGCCCTAGTCATACAACTTCCACCTTCATTGTTACGTAATCAAAGGTCTAATGCTGTCAGAATGCCTCTCCGACACCTGAAATTGAAACTGAGCCACGAAACTTCAAACACTAAAAATATGTATATAAAGAATAAGGTATTCGCTTTGCACCTGAAATCAAGAGTCTTTCTTAATCAGACTAGCTGTTCGTGATGCCCGGTGTTTATTTACTAGAATTAGAAGAGCTCTCTCAGACCACCCAACACATACTGTGTCACCTCCTCCTCCCCCCTCTGCTTGCTCAGCCG